CTTGACATCGTTGTCGTGCTAAACATATTAAGACGTCTTGACATCGTTGTCGTGCTAAACATATTAAGACGTCTTGACATCGTTGTCGTGCTAAACATATTAAGACGTCTTGACAACGTTGTCGTGCTAAACATATTATAATGTCTTGATGAAAACGACTCATTGATATAAACATAGATCTACAGTAAATTCTATATCATTTGACATAAGGCATGAAGTAAATTGTGCCTCGTGACGTACAGATTATAAAACTATTACTAAACTGTCAATGTAATTTTATCGGAGAATGTTGCTGTGGCATCGGCTGTTATCGTTCGAGGCCCCCATGACAAGGTCACCCGTCTGTCTCACAGACTGAAAAAGCTTCCACTCCAGTTATAAACAACCCAACAAGACGGGAAAGTTTTGGTTTTGCGTCCCCAACCCCCACCCCTCCACCCCCCCTCCCCCCCCCAAAAAAAAAAACCTCCCTGAAATGACGTTCATGGGTTCATTGATGATGAGGCNCCCAAAAAAAAAACCTCCCTGAAATGACGTTCATGGGTTCATTGATGATGAGGCAGTGGTATGGAGGCAAATTACAACGGGCAAGAGCGGTCTTGGGGGATAAATAATATAAAGGTACGAATGAAGATGCATGAAGAGAAATTAGAGGGCCTAAGAGTGGCAGTGGCCCACAGTGGCATACATCTACTGTAACAGAACACAATAGACCAGTGTTGCAGTTTTGTGATTGCCCGAGTTTGAGGGTGTTTGGCGCCCGGGGACAAGATCCATTTTTATCGCCCCTTTTTTCTTTTTTTCAACGCTCAAAACCATTATTTTCATCAATAAAATAATATCAAAGCACATTTTGGCGCCCCTAGGTAGCTGGCGCCCGGGAACATCTGTCCCCCCTGCCCCCACCACGCTACGCCTCTGAATGGGAGTTTGAATCTATGTCTTATGTTATATTACCGTGGGATGGAGAGTTTGACTTATTATTGATGAATATATCTTTTCATTCATTCTTCCTAACTTGCTATCAAAGCCGTGGAACTCCAGATGAGATCTGTTGTTATGGTAGATCTGTTTGTTTCGTGCTTTTTAAATAAATATGATTATACATAATTACTTACATACATACATACCTACATATGTACATACGTACATACTAACATACGTACATACTTGCATACCTAAATACTTTAATATCTACATACTTACGTACGTAGCCTACATACGTACATACTTACTTACCTATATAATTACATACCTACACACCTATATTCATACATATTTACATACCTATATACATACATACTTACACACCTATATACTCTATTTTGCGTGTATAAAGTGAACGTGTTTCTGCTCAGCGGGGGCGTGTCAAAATGTGTACACCGCGAGTTGTTGATGCGGAAGATTCCTACTACTATCGAATGAACGTAACCAGAAGTCAGTGGGCTGTGACGGCCATGCGAAACCTTTAAATCCCCCCGTGCGGCGTACTGCGCAGTTGATTATATAAGACCAGACCGCTGGGCGTCATTAGGACAAGTTTGATAGATTGGGAGCGTAGTCGTCGAGGTATGGTCTGTGGTATGTCACACCTTCTTTATTTGGGAGAATACAAATTTCAATTATAACAGAGAAAACATTGTATACAATTTAAATTCTGTAACTTTCCAACAACAACAACACACACACACACACACAAGGGGGTGGGGGTCTTTCTGCTGAACTAGAATTGGGTTTAAAATATACAAATGCGCCAATTCGGACAAACGTTGTAGAAGTTAACAAGTATGATCATACGTGATCATATGTTTTTGTCATCCGCCCTTATGTCTAAATCGTGTCATTGGTGCAATGTTCCCATAATTGTAACATACACAGACAGTGATATGTTACCTACATATATTTCTAACTTATAGGGGCTTCTATAGATATATGGCTTTTCTTATTCTTATGTACCCATCATCCCTGACTATCATCTCTCTAAGTGTCATCTCTTACTGTCATCTTCTACTTATCACCCCTTACATCATCTCCTACATATCATCCCCTACTCATCATCCTTACCATCATCTCCTACTCATCATTCCTACCTATCATCACCTACTTATCATCCCGTATCTATCACCTCCTACCTGTCATCTCCCACCTATAATCTCGTACTTATCATGCCCTACCTATCATCCCTTACCTATCATGTCCTAACTATCATCAACCAACATATCATCCCTTAATAATGATAATCTAATCCTGCCTATCATCACCCAGCTATCATCACCTACCTATCATCACCTACCTATCATCACCTACCTATCATCACCTGCCTATCATCACCTGTCTATCATCAGCTGCCTATCATCACCTGCCTATCATCACCTGCCTATCATTACCTGCCTATCATCACCTGCCTATCATCACATGCCCATCATCACCTGCCTATCATCATCTGACTATCATCACCTGCCTATCATCACCTACCTATCATCACCTGCCTATCATCACCTACCTATCATCACCTACCTATCATCACATACATATCATCACCTACCTATCATCACCTACCTATCATCACCTACCTCTCATCACCTACCTATCATCACCTAGCTATCATCACCTACCTATCATCACCTACCTGTCATCACCTACCTATCATCACCTACCTATCATCACCTACCTATCATCACCTACCTCTCATCACCTACCTATCATCACCTACCTGTCATCACCTACCTCTCATCACCTACCTATCATCACCTACCTATCATCACCTACCTATCATCACCTACCTATCATCACCTACCTGTCATCACCTACCTATCATCACCTGCCTATCATCACCTACCTATCATCACCTGCCTATCATCACCTACCTATCATCACCTGCCTATCATCACCTACCTATCATCACCTACCTATCATCACCTACCTATCATCACCTACCTATCATCACCTACCTATCATCACCTACCTATCATCACCTACCTATCATCACCTACCTATCATCACCTGCCTATCATCACCTGCCTATCATCACCTACCTATCATCACCTACCTATCATCACATACTATCATCACATACCTATCATCCCTCAACCTCATCCCATACCTAGTCACACCCCCCCCCCCAAGTGTACGTCTACTGACTAAGACACACGTTTGTTAAAGTATAAAGAACATACTGGTAGCATTTATAATTGCGCCTGTCTAGTGTAGCGAATAACAAAACATTCTTTTCACAAAATATTTCAATCTACTTTTACACAGTGTTAAATCTACATCCGTATCCACCCCACCCCACCCATTTCACGACGCGGTCTATTCAAATTATATTGACAAACATAATAATAATCATGATGATTATTTGAGTCAGCTGAACATTAAAAATAAACAACAAATCAGTAAACACATTTGGGGCATTTCGAAAGAAATTAAACTTTCGTTTCGTAGTCATTCTTCGGAAACATTTTCTTATTATGAAATAATTTTTGTTGACATGTTCAAATGTAACGGCCTTTCGCTCTCGGCAAACTCACATTTTCGATAATTAATCATTTTTGATTATAGGGAACACTGAGAAATAATCACCATTGATTACAGGGAACAGACAGAAATAAACATCTTTCATTATAAGGAAGTAACATGATAAAGTATTTGGTTTATAATACAGTTACTTGGCCCTACTATAAATACCATGTTTTTATCTTCTCCGATTGGAACAAAACATGATGAATGATTATGGTTTATAATCCCCCTTTGTGGATGGCATGGTATGTAACCTTAGGAAGACAACACTGCCAAGAAATGACATGCGAAATGATCAGTTTATCAAGACATTGTAATCTTTCTTCACCGTTATAAGTTTTAAGTTTAAATGACCAGAGTGGAACCCAAATGAATATTAGTTGGGGGGGGGGGGGGAGGGGTTCCAACTAACTAACTATTTCTCATAACTGTAATAATACGAATACCTACAAAGTTTATCAAGACATTGTAATCTTTCTTCACCGTTATAAGTTTTAAGTTTAAATGACCAGAGTGGAACCCAAATGAATATTAGTTGGGGGGGGGGGGTGAGGGGTTCCAACTAACTAACTATTTCTCATAACTGTAATAATACGAATACCTACAATTCACATATCCCTTATTGATATATATAAAAAAACTACACAGAATAAGGCTCACATCTGATGAAGAACAGAATGAAGATAAAATACAGGTCAGTTATAATTCATCCATTTTTTCTTTTTTTAGAAAATCACATGATACCAAATCTTCCCAACCGCTTTCTACTTTCAATACAACATGGCTGCTCTTACTCTGACACGAAATAGGGGCTTTTCCCTCATCTTCTAATTAATATCAAATATAATTATGTTACAGACACGATTCTGGCTTAATAACTAACTTTAACAGATCCTATAAATTGATAGTTAACTTAAGTAGCGATACATAGATTGACAGCATTATTATAATTGTTAACTTTAATAATGCTAGAAATATTTACGGAATAATTAAGTTAACATTAGTAACGATACATCGACCGACTGTATAATTAAGTCAACTTAAGTTACGATACATAGACTGACAGTATAATTAATTTGACTTTATTATCGATACATAGACTGACAGCATAATTAATTTGACTTTAGTATCGATACATAGACTGACTGTATAACTATTTAAAAAGAAATCCATTAAATAGGTTTCAACTTTTCATTTTCAGCATTTCCAGAATGGCCTCTAAATCGGTCAGCACGTTTCTCACACGGTTTCGTCGCGACAAATCTAAAGAAAGGGGCGATCCCACCTACCGGCACTCGGCCCCGGTGCCCCACAACTTCGACTACACACTGGATCCCCACCCCCAGCGTCAGAAACAACAACTCCCGGTGGGATTATCAGAACAGGAGCAGCAGCAGAACAGGTCTAAACAGCAAAAGCCGACAAGCCCAAACTCCAAAGCCAGGAAAAATAACACGAAAAAGGAAGCAAAGAAAGACCCGAAGAAATCCAAAGGAATTTCTTTCTTGCTGTGCATGTCCAGAAATGGCGACACACTCGAAAGGTCTCCGGCGACCGCACTGCCGGAAAATCCAAACAAGAATCGTAAATCCAAAGAAAAGAGTAAAAACAAACATGACGCCATTCCGGAAAACGAGATCGCCAATAATTCAGATGCCAAGCCGAAGTCCAAGAACGGCAAGGGGAAACTACCAGCGAAGGGATGGTTCTCAGTGGACAGCATTGTCCCCCCTGATTTCCTTCTCCCCTCAGAGCCCGCCAAAGAAAACGCGTATGGACCAATGTACCAACCGGCGAGGGGTCCGAGTCAAGGGGTCAAATACCGAGTGGATGGGACCTTGGAAAAACCTTACGTCTTCCCGTCGGGTTTTACCTTCGGGCCTGACGGTAGGAAACTCCAACTGAGGAGAAGCACCCCTGACTTCAAACAAAGCAAAAAGAAGGCGTTGGTCAAAGGTCAAGCGATCCGAGCCGACGTCCACGTTCCAGACTCCGATTCCGGCGAATTTGACGCCGAAAAAGCGTTTTACTTAAAATTCGATTCGGGCGAACCGAGTACGAGCCAGCGCAGCTCCTACCGACACAGCATGCCCGCGGTGCCAGAGTCTTACTTCCTTAACGCCGAAGACGTGTCGGGCAGCAATCCGAGCTTTGACTCCAAGACAAACACGCTGACCGGTACCAATCGAAAAATGAATTCGACCTCGTTTCGAGATGTTAAGCGACCGGATCCGGACGGCGTGAGGGAAAGCAGGAGATACCGGAAGAAGAACCGCTACAGCATGCCGCCCAAGAACGAAGAATACGTATACATGGGGAGTTTCGAAAACTTGCATCTGTGCGACTCTCTGGACAAGAGGCAACATTTGGAAAATGAACGTTTGTCGCACGATGACCCCAAAGACAAGGCTAAAAATAACCGCTACAGCATGCCAGCCAAAAATCCGGATTGTGTCTACATGGGAAGTTTTGAGAATATTTTTTTCAGAAACGGTGGGGATAAAGACAAGGGGAATTTATTTTCCCTTCCTAAAGATGAGACGGCCAGCAGCAACTCCCGGAGTTGGGACTCCTCCTTCGCGGACGGTCCTCAACGGGAGGGAACCTCTCAAACAAAAACGAACAGAAGTGCCAATGCCTCCAGCAAATCAAACATCTCAAACAGCGGCGATGAGTTGTCGGAGACTAACAAGTCTTCATTTTTTACCTCAGAGCGCAAAGACTCAAGTGATGGGAATTCAAAAACCGTTGTGACGCCATCAGTTATGATAAGCCCCGTCAATAAAGCAGCTACTTCTGCGAAACGTGAGGACGATTTCTTTGACGATTCGCTGCCGTTAGAGAAAAGTCCCCGTCCTGCCAACCCGTTTTCTCGAGCAGGGGGCAGGTCCTCGTGTATGCCCGGTAACAAACGAACTGTAGCTCCGCCGCCAGCATTTTATGATCCGACCTCAGTTCCGAGTGGTCTGAAACCGACCTCAGTTCCGAGTGGTCTGAAACCGACCTCAGTTCCGAGTGGTCTGAAACCATCGGACGCTTCTTCAATTTATCTGAACGGCGTCAAATGTTTCCAGATTCCTCCTCCGCCAAACTATACACCTCCTTGGGAGGAGATGGAGGTGGTCCAGGCGCGTTTGGTTGAGCTAAATGGCGGATGCCACAAAGGTTCTCAAGCCGATATTAGTTTTGACTCCGTGAGCTTAAACATGGAGGACAGAGACATGAGTCTGAACATACTGGACGCTAAAACTATACCCGTGGTCATACCCTCACAACAAAACAATTTATCAAACTTACATGAATCTCAAAAAGTCAAAGCCAACACTGGAACTATCGGCACGTCTCCTACTTGTGTTAAAAACTATCCAGGGCTTAGAGATAAGCACCTTTTATCGCCATCATCTCCTCGTTCGGTTTTAAATGAATCTCGAAGCTCTCAAGGCTCGGACAGTGTGTTTGAAAATACCACTCATAGGCCCCCTAGTCAACACCTTAAACCCGATGCCAGTAAAAGAAACTCTTCACCGTGCAATAGCAATGCCTACGAATACATTTACCTCTGTTCATCTACAAAAAGTCCGGTAATTACCATTCCTGAATTAAAAAGTCGTGAAAATCTGAATAACAGTGGGGAAAAAATGAACCCACCAGTGCAGGATCCATCAGAAACAAACAGGGCGTCAGTTAGAAAGGCTGTTGTCACATCAACACCAAAGTCTGTTCGACGGCCCCAGAATGACGTAGAGCGTAAAAGTGCTGCTGGCCAACCTGTACCGTCTCCGAGGAAAAGACTCAGCTGTTCATCACCTGATGTCGCTAATGGTAACTTGGCCAACGGCAACGTTCTCACGTTGGTAAACATAGGTGACGTGGACGCAACCGGTCGCAAGAAAACGCCGCCAGTTCCTAAAAAGAGACAGAATCTTTCCTACAGTTCATCCAGTTGCTCACAAGGTGACACAAACCTGCAGCTGAGGCCAGTCTCCCGGGCAGACCCGACCGACCCAAACAGACAATCCAACAACTCTTCGGTCGGCCCAGCCGGCAGGCTTCAGAAATCAGACAGCGTCAAGCCTTACATGACGACAGCTGTGGTGGGCCCCACGGCCACCGTAACCTTATCGGACACTGCGCACCACATCTACGAAGATGTGGTCATCAAACCCACCCTCCCCAAGGCGGTGACGCCGGCCCCATCGGGACCACAACATTACGAAGAATGCGGCAGCCTCACAAAGGCAACAACCGCTGAAAATGAATATTTCTACCTGAGCATGGATCCGGGGTCATACAGCGGCGGACTGGTTTCCCCACTGCAAACTCTCCAGCTCAGGACCTCCCCGCAATCACGGCGCAGGAAGGACGCCCCAGACTGTCTCTCCATCGGTTACTTCTCGCCGTCCTCGCCACGGCCGTTTTTCACGGGCCTATCGTCATCCACGTGCGACCTGGACACGCTGGATCACAAAGAACACGATTACAGCAACTGGATGGTCAGGCCGTTCCCGGCGACGGCAGACGATGAGACTTGTGTTGCCGACGATGAACTCAGCGGGTGCAATGACGACGACGAGGAAGACCTGCGCAAGGTGAAGACGAAATCCTTAAAGAAATGGAAGTCTGCCGATGACATCATTAGAAGTGGAAGCATTGTTGACAGGTGAGTCTGGCATTTGGAACACTCCCCCACTATCCCTTATCCTCAGAAAGACGTCAATTTTGGCCAGTTTCATGAAAACACCGATAAAGATGGTTGAAATTTGTTCATTACAAAATCCTAGTCTATCAAAATAATTTGTTTAAAATGCTAACTTATAAAATTTGACGTAAATTTTCTTAGTGGGTCAAAACAAATTATTCGTCTTAGATAAACTGGTACACATTATTTATACAGTAAAATTAAAAAAAAAAAGTTAATACCAATTGTAACAAAATAATTTTTAAATATCATCTCAACTGGCTTTATTTCCTATGAGCATACTAGTGTCACTAAATACATTTATTTATTCTGTAGCTTACAATCACTGTTGAAAAGAAATTTGTCCTCCCTGCATCAAAGACTTTCAATCCGTAAATAATATGGTGGGTTAAAGATATTTTAATTGTTTGCATTATAAAAATGTGTTTCCTCCCTATTCTCTAAGGTCCATGATACTGGCAAAGAGACGGCGTTTGCGCATGCGTGATAGAACATCGAAACCACTTGTATTCTCTTCCACCGAGACCGACGAAGGGGAAGCCCCGAAACCTGCAGTCCGCCACAAACTTCTCCCGGCTGACCCCAAGAGCAACAAACATTATGTGAAGAACCCCAACGTTGGTAAACGCCAATCAGCCAACCCGCAACTCAACCACACGGACTCAGGCCATGACAGTGACACACTCTCCCCGTGCTCTAGCCCCTACCGCAAGGTGGTCATAGGCTCGGTGCTGGACAGACAGGTCAGTGCGCCAGAGCAGTCCAGCAGCAGCAAACGGCAGGCCAGCGTGTTCAAGAAGCCGTGGGAGAACAGACTTCAGAACTTGCAGTGGGTCAGAAAGTCAAGGGTAAATGAGGATATTCAAGTGGGGTCAAGGTCTTCTTTAGTTTAACATTCAAATGTGTGAGACTTAGTCTGACATCGCTATTTACTGACTGACTGACATAGGTTGATATAATGCTTTACAAATTTGCAGTTTTTGACATACCTTGTATCTCAAGAAGTAATCAAAATCGTTTCGTTACTTTGATCATTTTAATAATTTAAAAAAAACCAATGTGTAAAATGTTGAGAACCGTTCAACGCTATGATAAGAATTATAATAAATATTGCAGTTAAAAATTCCAATAAATGATCCCTGCCTATTTTGTAAAAAAGAAAATGTTTACCCAGAATCCTTATAACAGTTCCGTGCAGACATCATACATAGATCCCACTATCCATCCCCGCATCAAATTTAGATCATAAATCTATAAACCACATAAGCCCACAAAAGCCTTTGTAAAATATATCCTGCCATAGTCCACACCTAAACTGCCAACATTTCGTAGAGACCACCCCTCCCTCCCCCATCCGATATCACAGCTCATGTGAACCACTATGAAAACAAAACAACTCTACAAACGAGAGCATCACATATTAGTTATTTATATAAACCACCACCTCCAAATCTGACCACACAGCCTCCTCTTGTCACATCGCACATTGGAGCACACCTCTCTCACTCTCTCTCTCTCTCTCTCTCTCTCCAACCCACTTCAAGTCATTTATGTAACAAGATTACATATTACCTAATTAGCCTAATCCAAATTTAATCTGAGCTAATAAATTAATCACTGCCTTGAGCCTTAGATTATGAATTTAATTGCTGTTAATCCAATATTAATCTGAATCCTCAATCATTGATGGTTGACTTTAAATTAAGTAAGACTATATTTTTTGTCTTAACACAAGCCTGTCAATTTCTTACAACGAATTCTACTGATTATAATTTTATTGTTTCATTTGATTGGTTTATTGTTATTATTATAAATATTATTTTGTTGTTATTTATAAATTTTATTCATGCAAAAATGTATGTAAAATATGTAGGAATTAATCATTATTTTAAAGAACGTAAATTTTAAAAAAAAATATTTTTAGTATGTAAGGGGAAGCAATCTCAAAAATTGCTAATGTTTAGACATTTTATGTTAAATTTTGGATTGTCCTTCCTGTTAATCTTTTTTTAAAGCAAAATATTCATTTTGATTCTACTGGTAGCTGCAGAGAGCTAGTCAAGTGACTGGTAGCTGCAGAGAGCTAGACTAGTGATATTATAATTATGAAAATATATATTTGGGCTATCATAAATGAATGGAATTAAGAAATTATAGCATATCAAGTAAAAATTACAGTGACAGAAATTAAAATGGTATTTTATTTTCGAGATTTACTTAATACGTCTGGTGAAGTAATTTTGTAAACGAAATCAAACCAACCGCCAAATTTATATCCTTGATAAGTCATACTAATATTTAAGTATGTTTTTTGTTACTAATATTTAAGTATGTTTTTTTGTTCTTTTTTAATAGGTAAAATTGAATTGAAAATAAATATAAATCCATGGGGTTTTTTTTTTTTTGTTGTTTGTTTTTCTTCTGTTGTACTCCTTGTAATCTCAAACTGTGTTTAAGCCCCAGGCTTTATTATTCTCAACCATATCATACATATAACCAGTGTACAGTCACTCCTGGTTAAGACCATTTAATTAAATGAAATCAAGGTTTGATTAAAAGGAAATAAATTAACTCATATAACTCTCTCTAATCTTCAGCTACTAAAAAATGTGTCAATAGTTTGAGTACATGAGAAGTTACCGCCCTTTTATCTATGTGTTGGCTGTCCCTGTTGTTATTGGCTGTCATTATCTTGACTTGATGTTCTAGGCACGTTTAATTGTGAGTGATATTACATGCATTCTTTTCATTGCTATAACTCCTAACCTCTTGTTGCAATGTATATAAAAAAAAACAACACTTTATATATTTTTTAATATGTGAACTTTGTTTTTTAATGACTCAAATTGAAAACTTGAAATGTGTACATAATGTAAAATAATAATGTTTCTTAATTGAATTTTTTCACTTTGTTTCACTGATTTTATAATTACAGCATCTAATTGAAATTTAATTAAATTTCATGATTTCAAGCATGAAATATAAAGCTCGGATAATAATAGCAGCATATTCATGTATTCTTGTTTAAAACAAAACTAAATATGTAATTTAATGATGGTGTAATTTGAGGTGAGAACAATTACCTATATTTAATCCGTAGCTAGGTAAGAACATATCCAAATAATAAGAATCAGCCTAAAGAATTGTGTCCATTTATTACCTGACAAAATATTTCAATTAAGGTTCCCGAGCATTGGCACATTGTACTATAATGTTTTATCATATCATATTCCTTTAGATTGCTCCAGTTTATACTGTTACAGTGCCCTTGATTGTTCTATTAAAATGCTCTCTTATGTTCTTTTAAATATCTATTTATCTCTATATTCATTTGATGTAACCCTAGAATATTTCAATTTAGTGCTCTAATACGTTGTTTTTTTGTTCTTCCGTAGTATGTTTTAATTTAGTGCCCTAGTATTTTCTGTTATAAGTGCCCTAGTATGTTCTGGTAAACCCCTAGTATGTTTTTATTTAGTGCCCTATTGTGTTCTTTTATACCCCTAGTGTGTTTTAATTAAGTGCCCTAGTATGTTCTGTTATACCCCTAGTATGTTTTAATTTAGTGCCCTAGTATGTTCTTCTAAACCCCTAGCATGTTTTAATTTAGGGCCATGGTATCTTCTGTTATACCCCTAGAATGTTTTAGTTTAGAGCTCTAGTATGTTTTAATTTAATGCCCTAGTATGTTCTATGGTAGATTACAACAATTTTTCAAACTCTTTGATACAATGTCTCAGTTCTCACAATTTTTTAAAATTTTGAATTGTTCCCACTCAAAAGTTTCCTTTCGAAAAGTTAACTCAGCATATTGTGTGGTTAATTAAGTGAAGTTAAGTTTAGGGCAACTATACCTAAGTGGGCCATTCATATCATGCTCTGGAGGAGCGGAGGGGGTCTAAGAAAGGGTGACAGTTGGCTAAATGGGACTTAAAGATCTTGTTTAGTTAATTAAGTGAAGTTAAGTTTAGGGCAACTATACCTAAGTGGGCCATTCATATCATGCTCTGGAGGAGCGGAGGGGGTCTAAGAAAGGGTGACAGTTGGCTAAATGGGACTTAAAGATCTTGTTTGACATCAGAAATTATTCTTTTTAAATCATACAAATTTTTATATGTGATATTACATGCATGTAATATCACTTATTAAATTGGCAGTGATGTTAAGCATTCATTTATTGAAAAAAAACAAATGAAACAAGGTTTCAAAATATAAGTTGGTGAGAGGAATTCTGACATTATGCTAAGATCGAGTAACTGGAGAAGATACATGGAATTTCCGCAGATATTTTAATGTTTTAAGGAATAATAATATGAATTTTTTTTTGTGTGAAGATTTTGGCATAGTTAATGTTAATCTCAAGGTCATTGTTTACTTTTGCATTTAAGTTAATATCATAGTAAACACCATAGTTTACTTTAATGCAATGTCTTGATATTTTGAAAATTTATACACACTTTAACAGGTGATAGAATTGTCCAGCCTTTTTAAATTTTGCTTAAATTTGTTAATTTTCGGATTTCTGCAGATTTTAAAATTGAGATTTCCTTCTGTTCATATAATATTTAATGATCATATTAGCCAGTATTTAAACCATTCTTTTGATTAATAAATTACAGGAAAATGGAACAAAACAAAAGATGAACCAAGCTACAATTGTAAATACAATGTTTATTTTCATAAGTAGGCAATTTGATTAATGCTATAACAAGCAGCACATTCTTTATGTTTTCTTAGTTATCTTATATTACACTTTCAATACTTATTTTGGAATCATATTGTTTTTTTTTGATGTTTTGAAATACTTTTAAAGAACAATAATAATAGCATGCAACTTTAACTACTTGAAAGATTTTTTTCTTGAATCTCCCACCATCCATCCATCTATAATATGGAGCATTGTCTCAATTCATTATGTTAGATATGGTTTACATTATGTATCAATAATGCTATCAAAGCATTTATCAATTTGATTTCTCATTCTGATACAATAAAAATAACACAACAGAAAATGAAAATTAATTCTTTATGAAATAACAACTTAGGTTAGTTGTTGTTTTTGTTTGTTGTTTTTTTGTTTGGTATGTGATTTTTAGTGTTATGTTGTGTTTTTATTTAACTTTTGTTATTTAACATCTTCAGATTGAAATTTAACATTTATTTATTTCTCTTAATTGACACATTTAATCTATAGATTTTGGCGTGGCCAGCCCTGACAGCCTTCTCTTTACCGTAGGCCCCTGAATAAGATGATAAAATATTAGCTAAAGTTCTATTACTAGGCTTATAGGCCTTGTTGGCTAAAGACGTCTCCAGCAGTTAATTGGTTTGATTAGTCCCACAACTTAGTTAGATTCTGATACCATGACACTCTCATTGACACCACTGCCCTCAGGTGGACAATGTTGAGTACACCATCCTGACCATCTCTCACTGACACCACTGCCCTCAAGAGGACAATGTTGAGTACACCATCCTGACCATCTCACACTGACACCACTGCCCTCAAGAGGACAATGTTGAGTACACCA